GATGTGGCAAAGAAAAGGGGTTGGACCTCTATAGAAACAAGAAAGCAAAAACTCACAACCTATGGTCTTTATGGCATGAACTGCCTGCCCATTTCAGAGCAGAACTGGCACATATACTCTTACCATAAAAAAAAGTCAAGGAGATAAGAGCTCATGGTGAGGAATAGCAGATGAATTTCAAACTTCCAACAAAACTCAAAGCCATCTTACTCCCAGCTGGAAGACCAACAGACATCACAATCATTGGTTGGTGCAAAAGTAATTGCAGTTTTTGTCATTACTTTTAAAGGCAAAAACCGCAATTACTTTTGCACCAACCTAATAACACCCTTGCAATGGATAGTTTAAAAGCAAATCCCAAGGCCAAGAAGTAACCAAAAGTTAAAGCAAAAAAAAAAAAAAAAAAAAAAAAAAAGCATCTCCTTAGGAATTTGCAGACCATAACACTTTCCCCTTACCAACCTTGAAGAAAATAATTTTTTAAGCAAAGAACCAAATTCTTCTTTTTCAAAGAATCAAAGTGAACAGGGAACTTCCTTTGCACCATTAATCTATCAACTTTGGTTTCACATTGCATCAGCGTTACGATAATAATTTCTGCTTTCTATCACTTTAAAGTATGTTCCCAATAACTATCAGATCTGATAAAAGATCCCCAAGACCACGGGCTACATACGTTTATCATTAGTTTCTTTTTTAAAGCTGAGTTGTAGATTAATAAGAACTATCGAATTACTCCTTTAAAACAAAATCATGGGACAAAAGTGAGGCAAAACACTTCAAATTGAAAAGTATTTGCAAATCATTGAAAAAAAACTGTATAAGAGAATGAGAATATGTAGAACATTGGAAGATATACATTAAAAAACTCTTATTTAATTTAGAAAACACAACATGTAGCTTATGAAGTAATGAATCTATACCAAAAAGAGATTATTAAGTATTAGGCCATTTTACTTACAGTCTTCACACATTAATGGACTTGGACATTTTAAAGTCAACAATCACACCTAAGATCCGCATGCATACTTTCTATGGGAAAGCCACCGTGTGAAATGCCACAAATGATCACTTAAATCACAATTGCACTTAAATAATTCAGAAAACTAAATGCCATCTCCTTTGTTATTTACACTTCAAATATAACACTAAAATTTAAAATCAAACCATGGGCACATTAAACTATGGGTACACTGTACTTCCTGCATAAGGGTTACTGAAGGCTTTATATGTTGATATAGTTTCTTAAATGTTACAAAAATCAAATTTGGCTTGCTTTTTTTTTTTGGTCATACAAGTTCTACAACACAGTTTTTCACTTGCATTATTTTAAATTTCAGTGTTAAGTGGCAAATGCTTCTTTAAAAAGCTGTTCAAGTTTTCTGAACTATACCTTTGGGTTGTGGGTCTACATATGTTTAAACAAAACTCTATACGAATGTTATTCCAGGAGCAGATACTCCGCTGAGAAAAGTACGAAAACAGATCTGTAAGGACATGCAGTGGAATGTGAGTGGTTTGGCTGGGAAGCTCACAATGAAGAACAAATTGCACCACAGAATGGCTGGAAAAGTTAATTAAGGCAACCTCACCAATAACTCAGCCAGTAACAAAACTTTTTGTTCATTTGTGTGACTTTAGTCATGAAATGGTGGATAGGAGAGAAAATGCAGGTATCACATTCATTTGGTTTTTGAAACTGAACTCTTTTTTTTTTTTTTTTTTGAGACAGAGTCTCGCTCTATCACCCAGGCTGGAGTGCAGTGGCGCGATCTTGGCTCACTGCAAGCTCCACCTCCCGGGTTCACGCCATTCTCCTGCCTCAGCCTCCTGAGTGGCTGTGACTACAGGCACCCGCCACCACGCCCAGCTAATTTTTTATATTTCTAGTAGAGACAGGTTTCACCGTGTTAGCCAGGATGGTCTTGATCTCCTGACCTGGTGATCCGCCTGCCTTGGCCGCCCAAAGTGCTGGGATTACAGGTGTGAGCCACCGCACCTGGCTGAAACTGAACTCATTTTTAATTGTTCAGTTACAAATGGATATAGTTCAGGGCTTTGTAAAGGAAACACAAGAACCCTTCTGGAAACAGTAGCAATCAGTACTACCTGTTATAGCATCCACATGATTCTGTTTTCCTTTCTACGAATAGCCTCAGTGCAGGGGTCCAAGCATTTATGAAATATTTATAGAGAAAAATAGAAAAGATAGGAAGAGGGACAGAGGGACAGACGGATGGACAGAAGGATGGAGGGCCACGGCGATGTCAGCCACCAGCCAGCACACAAATAGTGTCCCAACTTGGAAAGCCTGCACCCCACGAACTCTAAACCCAGGCAGGGGCAGGTCCAAAGCCCACACACCAGTCCCTGTGATCAAGACTGAGTGCAGAGGCAGCAGGAGACCAGGCTGCAGAAGAAAGGGCCTCTGCGCTTCCAGCAATCCATGCCCCTCAGCATAATCCTGGGACTGTAAAGAGGCGCTGAACTAGTTAGATGAAAACTGTAGAGGACTCTGTAAAAAAGACCATGGTAATTATTAGCATCACATACACAAAGAAAAAGGTTTATTGTCCTTTCTTTTACTTGTTCCTCTCTTTAAATTTGTTTTCCAAGAGTCCTCCTGTCGGCTTGCAATCCATGTTTAAAAACACCACTTTCATTTTTCTTTTATTTGATTTTTGTCCCAAAATATGAAACACTAAATCTGTTAGAAGTCACAGGAACACTGAAAAACTGATCAGAGTTCACCGGATTTCTAGGACAGCTATCGTTTAGGCATGTTCCCTGCAAGTTTGACCAATGAGTGTCTGCCCCCAAACAGGAGAGGATTCATACACATTTAGGAGAAAATGTGGGCTCAAGGGCACAAGCTGATCAGGGCAGGAAGCCAGTGGAGTGGGGCTGAGGAAACAGGTGATTATTTAACACTGTAGCACTAACATTTGTAAATCACGACTGCTCCTTCTCTGGCTAGTTTTATCTCGTGGCTTCCTGGCTGTTGTGGGGCTGGTCAGGTTAGTTCTGCTCCCAATCACCCTCAACAGAATCATGAGGGAAACCTGAGGTCCAAGAGCAACTCAAGACAAATGCAGCTGCAGTGGAAAACCTCCTGAGAATGTGTTTAGGTGTGGGAGTGGCACAAACAACAGTATCTTCGTAAGACTGAGACTCTGTGGCCATGCAGCTGAGATTCATAAACACGACAGGCGCTTCTGCAGGCTCCATGCAGCGCAGCAACATCTTCTGCCATGCACTTGTTCTTGCCTGTTCTCACATTCACACACATGCATGCTCACACACATGCATGCCCATAGTTACCCCTACCACACACACCCACACACCTACACACTCACGCATACACTTGCCCACACTCACACATATCCTCACACACTCACACCCCCTACACACTCACACTCGCTCACACCCTGACACACAGGCATGTACACTCACACAAACTATAAAGATAACCAAAAGCTGATGTTGCTGAAGTCAAATACGTAGGAAGCATTTATTCCTACAGAATTACCATAAAAATTACCAAATAACCAACACTGAAAAAATACTGATTCTATTTCTGAAATAATAAATTTGCCTAAATTTTACCAATTCCAGAAAAAAGAAACCAAGGTAACATATTTTTAAGGAGAAATGCCTTCTATAACCACATTGGATGAAAAATGCAAATATTATGGCTCAGTTAAAGTAAGCGCCAGTCTTGACTTTAAATACCATCAATAAATGAGGAAATACTTTCACATATATGTAAATTCATTATTTTAACTGAGACATAAATACATCTCCCTAAGGATCAATTTAAAACTGAAGTCATTTGCCAGTAGGTTTAAGAGCCAGCTCCTTCCCTACCCAGTGCAGTCAGCAATGCACACTCATGAAACTGGGTGAAGAAGTGCAGGTGAGAAGCACAGGCTCTCAGCAGACATGGAGGAGCCCAGAGAGAAGTGGTCAGGCTGCTTGGAAGTAACTGCCCTTAGAGTCTAACGTTCTGGACTGGAGTTATCTTCCAAAGGAGATTCTGACTCTCCAAGTGGATGTGAAAACATGTAAATCAATCTAGTAAAACCTGTCTTGGAATATAGAAAATATAAGAATAGCAGGTTGGCTCATACAAATCAGTGTGCCCAGATAGGCAGTGTCCAGGAACTAGCAGAACGGGCCAGCTCATTCTTCCTACAGGCCCATGGAGAAGCAGAGAAATTCAGCGAGGCCAGGAATGGCTATGAAATCTACAAAAAGGAAAGGCATTAGTGGCCCACAATGGAGAAACAGCAGGGACAGGAAGTGAAGGTTACCATTAACGTATTCAGTCTGTTTGTACCAGGGAGGCTCTGGAATTTATTTTCAACACTCCATGCTTGAACTGAAATGCCTCTCAACACTTTGCTTAAAATTTAAAAACACAGAATACAGGAACAGTGGCTCTGTGTTATCTCTGAACACAAATAAGGAAATTAAATTTTTATAAGCTAACAACAAAACCTGCATCTCAGATACTAACATTACCTTGAGGTTCAATCATTAACACTTCTTAAAATCCTTTAAAGTAGACTACTTAAAGTTGGGGTTGGGAGAGACTCCTGTCCTGTCACTAATTTCGACAAGACAACTTTTGTGTCTTTTGTACTAATTATTCCAAGCAGTATAGATGATCCATATGCAACACAGAGCATTTTGAACTCTTGCCAGACTAGTCAAGATGATTTCCAAAATGCCAAAACAGGAACTTCTGATAATAAATAACCTATCACATTTACATCTCAAATTAGAAAGTTTGGAAGTCAACGTGTAGGTTGAGTGCCAAAATAGAGATTACTAAATTCCATGTCCCCGCCGCTGCCCCCCCGCCCCCGCCCCATTTGCTTTCTTCAGCCTCTCCTAGAACAAACACTGGTCCAGGTGCAAACGCTCAATTCACAAGGAATGCAGAGAACACAGAAATGACTCCAGGCTGGGCTGCTGGTAATCCCTGTGCTGCTCACCATTAGAAGTGGTGCTGGAGGCAACGGCTTTCTCGCTCACATCTGTTCGAGTGGAGCACTTCACTATGGAATTCTCAACTTTTTTCTTTTCAGTGGTCGTGGAGCTATGGGACTGGGCCTCCATGATGTCTTCTCATTACTTCAGCTCTCTTCGACCAAAAATGCCCTAAAGAAAACAACAGAGCCATCAACTTTCCAAAACGGTGGAAATAAAATTAAAAAAAAAAAACTTTCAAAAGTCCACTTCACCTGTCATCTGAGAAAAGCCTAGAGCTTTAGGAAATTCAAAATGTAGATGACACTTCTCCACAGGTTTTCTGGCAAAAATGTCTCAAAGTTTAACAAACCAGTGAAACTCTACACATGCAAAAAAAAAAGAGAACTGAGGGAAATGCCCATAATGTGGTACTTTTCCCAAATCCCTACTGAGCATTTGGTATCAAATGATCTAAAAATCTCAATTTGCAACTGTGTCTATCATGTGAAACAAGTGTCATATTACTTTTTAAAGCCACATCTGCAAATGTCTCTTCAGGTGGCCAGTTTTACAGGAAGGGGCATTTGAACAACTTCCAAAGCAGGGGAAGGTTTTTAATTATTAATTACATTTTTTCAAGAGAGTCTGACAATTTCTAACATCGAAGGCCTACTTCTAAATTCTGAATCAGAGGATAATTCAGGCCAAGCAGTTCAGTGATTCTTGCCTCTTTCATAAAGATATCTGAATTGCAATATACCTCTTAATCCTAATTCATTCAGGTAAGCTATACTCTTTAACCTCCTTAAAGCATGAGAATATTTCAGTTCATTTAAGTCACATTTTTAAGACAAAGGTAATAGAACAACATGCTCTTGATTCCACATGGAAAAGTTGAAAGGTCTTTGTAATAGCAAAGACTGGGCTCACTTAGGAAATATTAAAAGTCAGCTAAAGGCAGGTTCAGTAGGTCTGTCTTTCACTGGCTTCATTCATGTGATAATCGCCCTAACTCATCATTCATCAATTTTCACTCTGCTTCATGTTCCTTTTTGCAGTCATGTTCTACACCTACAAAGAATACAATAAAAGAGGAAAAGTACCCTCTCTAGCATGTTTTCTTCATGTTATCTAGATTGCAACTTTCGTAGAAAGCATTTCTTTGGTCTGGCCACCTTGCTTATTTTTCTACATTTAGTAGATGTCGACATCCTCAATCACAGCAGCGGTGAGTGAAATGAAATAAGTAACTGCTTGATCAACTAAAAAAGTTAAAATACAAGGTAAACTATTTTCAGTCTACTTTAACACATATTTGCAAGGGAACAGCAAGCTCTTCATTGCATAATAAATTCCTCCTTGATCTGGAATTCAAGTAACTAGAATGTTTAAGAACCAGAGGCCACATGGCACACTGTAACACCAGCTCTTCCACTCACTTCCATCTCTTTTCTGAGATTATCCAGTGTCATTCATTGTAAAACACACAAGTTATTTAAGAACAGCTTTTGTAGAATAAAAAAGAAAAAAGAAGCACTAAGTTAAATTTACATATCAATAGTAAGATCCACTCCAAATTCAGAGACACCCCTCAAAGGGCACTGACAAAGTATTATACAACAGAAAGGGGGGCTTGAGATCTCCCTTCCGAGTGCAGCCAACATGCATGAGTCCCAAGGGCAGGGCTACCTGCATGGCGCCCCCCCGGGGCTAGCTAGACAGTGCACAATGGCCAACAACCTGTTGCTGAGCCTCAGTGATCTCATCCGTCAAATGACAGAATCAGGCAGTGAGATCTGACCTTTACTTTGGGCGGGGGGAACACATCTTCTTTAAGAACCTGTTAAAAGTTAAAGAGCTTCTCCCCAGAAAATACCCTTAAACTCAAAAGTACACATTTAATTTCTAAGCGATCACAGACCTTCAAAGCTTTTCCAAGAATCTGGATAGAGAATCCTTAAAGGAGAAATCTTTGATGGCCCCTTCTAGCTCTAACAATCTCAGAATAATTACTTTTTGTAATGGTCCTTCAAAATTGATTTAAATATCATCTTTAAAGTATGCCACAAGAATAATCCAATACAATCGGCATTGTTCCCCACTTGGTACAAGAACTATTTGTATCAGCGTTTCTACAGTGCTTGCTAAGCATTCAGATTCCTGCAATGCATTTGCCTTGGAGGGTGGCACCCGGGAAACTCAATTTTAGCAAGCATCACTAATTGTCAGATTCACTAAAGCTTGTTTTCTTTGTTGTTGTTGTTTTTGTTTCGAGACAGAGTCTCACTCTGTTGCCCAGGCTGGAGTGCAATGGCGTGATCTCAGCTCACTGCAACCTCTGCCTCCCAGGTTCAAGCGATTCTCCTGCCTCAGCCTCCCAAGTAGCTAGGATTACAGGCGCTCACCACCATGCCCAGCTAATTTTTTGTATCTTTAGTAGAGATGGGGTTCGTCATGTTGGCCAGGCTGGTCTCAAACTCCTGAACTGAGGTGATCCACCAGCCTCGGACTCTCAAAGTGCTAGGAGTACAGGCGTGAGCCTTGAACAACTGTTCTACGCGTTTATTTTTGCTCACTGCTATATACCCAGTGAAGTATATACTCATTGAAGTCTTTGCTGACCGGATGAACTAATGAATGAACTGCACCTTAGAATCCTGAATTCCAACGCCCTACACAAAACTATCCTAGCACCCATCACAATGATAATAAACTCTTCTTCATCTGGAAAAGTCTGTGCTGAACATCCACCTCCCCTTTCCATACTGTAAGCTCCATGAGGACAAGGTTTCTACTTTCCCAGCAGTTAGGTCACATAAGAATGTTTACTGAGTACATAAATGATCGCATCAATGGCCCTGTGACTTACAGGACTCTGCAGTGTCTTGAATTTCAATCACCATTGGTTTAGCTACATACATTTTCTTTTCATATTCAGTGTTTCACTGAAAACTGGCAAATTCTATAAAAACTAAAAACTTTAGCAGAAATATTTAATTGATCCAAATACTCCATTCTTAGCCATTTGGGATAAACAAGCATTTACTATAATTGTTCCCTTCGACACACACATAACAGTTTTATTGGCTGTATTTGAGTAAAGAGTCTACAACGTTAAAACTGCACACTGAAACATGCAAATGGACCAGAAAAACCCATTAAGACATGGGATTCCTAGTAAGAACTAAGTACCTTCCTTAGCAGAGGGTGCTAATTAATAGGAATCAGGAGACAAGTTCCCAAAATTCCTTGACAAACTTGGTTTTTGTGGAGTTGTTGGTTTTTCCCCCAAGGCAAAGGACTTTATTTTAACAAAGCAATAAAACCCTCCCAATGCTCATCACCATAGAGAGAGGTTCAAGTGAGAAGAGGTAAAGCTCCAGGCACTGACTGAAATCACACTAATTAATGGTCTTAAAGAATACTAATTCCTACCCCCGTCTGAAATGGGTTTTTTAAAAATAGGCCCTTGGTCACTCAACAATCTACCCCCTTCTTCTATTTTGACAACTTATTTTTGGATCTCATTAGTTAGTAACTAATTATTTAAAAGTGTGGTTTATGCTTGGAACTGGGCTATAAAGATGGCAACGTGCCAAATCAGACATCTGCTTCCTGTACATTCCTATAAATTATATCAGCTTATTTTACAACTTTGTCCCTGTCAGTTATAAAGGAGAAAGTTTAACATTCTAGACGCCCACACCTCATCAAACTGTGGGTGAAGAGTCAGTGAGCGGCAAAAGGTGGCCGCTTTGAGTTGTGGTGATGGAATTTTCAGGGAACAGTAAGAGGAGCTTGGAAAGTCAGTCCTGAGCTGGTCCACTGAAGCATTCGGGATCGAAGTGGCCAGTAGAAATTCCTCACGGAATCCCAAAACACCACTAGGACAGTAGCTCCACGACACTTGTAAAATCTAGAATTTTAAAAATAATGAAGTATAATTTATTTAGAACTTAAGCATCAAGAGAAAACTTTAAATTCTGCTTCACTTCAAAGACTTTTCCCTGAAGAAAACATGCCACTGTGTTTCAGATGTGAATGAAATGATACTTTTTCCCCCGATATAGTTTCCTTGCTTAGGACTCGACACTATTCTCCTTCAATCCCTTTCACCACTGAAACATTACATGCAAGATTTGCTGGCACGCCCCTTGACTTTTCATGCTTAAGGGGAAAAATGTTTGTAGCTGATGTTTGAGTCCCAGCAGCTCAGAGAGAGAGGGGGGGGGGGAAGGAGAAAAAAAAAAAAAGCAACCAAGCAAAATTGCTCTGATGGTATATCCCTCCTAAAGCTTGAAGTTTCATAGGTAAAAGGAGAGATAAACATTCCTTCCTGAAAGTAAACAGCCAAGGCTTTTTCCCACTCAACTATCCCTCAACCTTTTGTAATTTCCCCGAGGCCTAAACCCAGGACACAATTAATTCCAGATCCTATTTTAAATCTAATCCGTCTCCTATTTGCAACCTGCCTGCAGGTGGGTCTTTTCTTTCTAAATTATAAATCTGAACCTGCGTCAACCTCTTACAACACAAGGCATTTAAAGCTTCCTGGAGCCACTGACCTGGTGATGCTGTAATGCAGGTCTGCTTTTGAAAGCAAGCAAGAGAACAGAGAGCGAGCAAGAGAACCGCAACCTTTACCACGTTGGCGAATTCTTGCCGGGACCTACATATTACACAGCACTTGCACACAAACGCCTCAAGTCGTCCTCTTTAGAGTCGTCACTTACACCTGCAAGGGGCGGGGGACCAGGGGAACCCCAAACAAACTTTCATCGTTACAAAGGCGAGTCCCCATTGATTATGGTAATTGTTTTGCTCAGGTTGCTCAGGTTGTATGGGTATGGCCAATTTTGTTTGAAAGCTCGCTCGCTCTCTGCGCTTTCCTGTCGAGTTCCCTTCAGGTTCTGGTTTCTTCCAGTGGTGGCAAGGGACGTTTTTCACGCCTTTCCCCACTTTTGCCCGCGCCCGCGTCCCATGCCCGAGGTACCGGGCCGCGGCGGCGGCGCGGGGGGTTCATTAGTGGGTGCGCCGGGCCAGCGCAGCGCCGTCTGCAGCCGCGTCGCCGCATCCATCATCATTACATCAGCGCGGGGAAGTCCACGCCGAGTTCTCCCGGCCCCGGCGCGCCACAGTCCGCGCGCCAGCAAACAGAACATGCTGGATTGCTCAGAGATGGTTCTGGG